GCAAGTGGGCTTGCATTGTTTATTTTATTATTTTTAATGTATGATCTTAAAATGGGCATCCTAATGCTGGTCTGGATACTGTACCCACACAGAGCCTGCTTCAGCTGCCGGGTAGCCCTGCTGAAGCTGAGGGCACAGCATGAAAATCTGTGGCCCCAGGTGGGAGTTTGTGGCTCCGGCCATCTCTGATGGTAGCTAACGAGCTTCAGCAAGTGCTGAATGAGTCTCAACCAGCTAAAGCTTGAGGTGAAGCAATGACATGGGAGGTGGTGGTCCCCAGGCCTGTACCCCAGGAGCTCGGGATGTCCCTGAAAGGCAACTTGGAGTTTCCCTAGCCCTGTGTTCAAGACGAGCACCAGAAGCCTTGGCTTTGGACTTGGTGGGTGCTAACGAACACCGACAGCACCCGCGGGAGCTCGGCTCGGCTTCTCTGGCGCCGGGGTGTGATCCCTCCCCTCGCTCAGACCTTCGTGCACACAGAGAGCCCGTCCGCCGTACCCTGCACGTCTGCGGCCGCCACGTCATCGTCGCTGCCCCGCGCCCGGGCCTTAAACCCCGTGAACACCGGGCAGATGGGCACACGCTTCAACCACCGGCTCCTCCTCACCACGCTCATCCCGAAAGGGAAGTCATAGCTCCTCAAGCTGGCTCTCGCCGTGCTGTCTGAGTGCGCGCCCGCCTTCCACTGCACCAGCCCTCGCTCCTCCTGCGTCCCTGCGGCAGCCGGCACCGTGTCAGCTGAGACCCCCGGTGCCTGCCCGCCCACAGAGGGGATGCCCAGCATCAGCCCCCCCCTCACCCTGCCATCCCCTCTTGCAGCTCAAATGAATCTGCCTCCAATGCCACCCCCCCGCTTCCTCCCCCTGGCTCCGACTGCTTTAAATACCCGGGATGGTGTTGTCCAGGATGAAGGCGATGGTCCCCCCGACGAACATCTCTGTTGTTAGCAGCACCGTCAGTATCTGGTCCAGCTCGGGGACACCTGCGAGAGCACAGGGACTGAGCCGGTGCCTGTGAGATAAGCTGGATTTGCCCAATTAATAGCTGCTTGCCAGGGGTGGGCAAGTGACTGTGAGCTCTGCCCTCCTCTCTCCCTAAACACCCAAAATTGGGGCTTTTCATGGCAGGTGGGTACCTGTGTTAATGGCCTTGGGTTGGGAATCCAGGTAGTTTGGCAGCGTCAGCCCAAAAAACATGGCAAAGCCCAGCACGAAGAGATTGCGGGAGGAGTTCATGTCGACGAACTGCAGGTTGGAGAGGCCGACAGCCGTGATCATGCCTGCCAGCAGAGACGGCGGCTGCGTTGCAGGCAGGCAGAGATGCCCACGCTGCTGCTGCCGGCTGGGAGCCGGGCATTGGGGTGGGCTGCCCGCGAAGGCAGCGAGGGGCGTTCAAATGCAGGTGTGGTTCAACCCGAAACCTCAAAGCCCGTCCTGCATCCCTTGAGCTCGCCAGCCCCCAAATCTCTGGGGAAATGGCCCAGGGCTGGCGATAACAGCACTCCGGGTTTGAGAGGCGGCTGCGGCGAGGTTACCGAATAAGGTGCAGAACATCCCGCCGAGGATGGGGTCGGGCAGAGAGGCGAACAGCGCCGTGAACTTTCCGATGGTCCCCAACACGAGCATGATCCCGGCCCCGTACTGTATCACCCTCCTGCTCCCCACCTGCACGAAAAGACCAGCAGTGGGTGATGGCGCCTGTCGTTCCCCCCCCCGGCTGAGCCAGGACCCCTGCCCGGTCCCGGTACCTTCGTGATGCCCAAGACGCCGATGTTGGGGCTGGAGGAGGTGGAGCCGTTGCCAGTTCCCAACAGCCCCGCGATGATGCAGGAGATGCCTTCGGTGAAAATGCCTCTGGGGACCAACGCGCACGGGCTGGTCTCCACCACCGCTCTCCCGCAGCATCCCTGCCCGGTCCCCAGGGATGCCACGGCACGGGCAGGGTACCGGCGTGAGGCTGGCCGGCTGGCTCTACCTGTTAATGGCATGCACGGGGGGAGCGGGGGCTCCCGCCAGCCGGGCGCAGGAGTAGTAGTCCCCGATGGACTCGATGATGCCCGCCAGCGTGGCGCTGAACATGCCCAGCACGGCTGCCGAGGTCACTGTGGGCAGACCCCACTGGCCTGCCCGGGGGGGTGGGCAGAGCGGGGTGTCAGGGTGGGGGCACGCAGCCCCTCACCAGTGCCGCTTTGGGCCCCCCCCCCGGGCGCTTCCCAACCCTGGTGATGCCGTGCCAGGTCCTTGCCTCCCCCAGGGCAAAGGGGTATTGGCAGGACCTGGGTGCCATGGGGCCGCCTGGCACTCACAGGGGTAGGGGACCCGAAACCAGGGTGCCACGGACAGGATCTCCCCCCGGGCGTCCGTCCTGGCCTTGTAGCCATACGCCTCGGGCCGGCTGGGGAAGACGCCGGTGCACGTCAGCACGTAGCAGAGCAACCACACCACCATGATGGCCAGGATGATCTGCGGGGGCAGAGACCAGGGACACACTCAGCATTGCTTGCAAATCCATGTGTGGAAAAAGGGGGGATTTTTGGGATGCCCCAGGACCCGGCAGCTCCTGTACAGTCCCTACCGGGAACATCTTGAAGATCTGGACGCGGAGCAGGACGAAGCCGCTGCCCCGCCGGTAGCCGGGCAGGCAGATGTTGACATGCCGCAGGTACTGGGCAAACAGGACAATCAAGAAGATGGTCCTGGGGTGGGGAGGAGAGGAGAAAGACACCGAGGTCCTTCATGCCCCTGGCATCCTCCTGGCTCCACGGTGGACACCCCAACCCCCTTGTCCCCCCCCGTCCCCGTGCCGTACAGCGCGGCGATGCCCCAGTGGGAGCCGGCCCGCTCGCCAGCCGCCTGGAAGACGGAGAGCCCGATGAGGGAGACGGTGGGGGTGACGGTCAGCGGCCCGATGTAGCTGAGCAGCGCCCCGGGGAGCCCCAGCAACCCGATGGCCACCTCCACCAGGCTGGACACCACGATGGCCCCCTGGATCTGCAGGCCATGGGGGAGCGGGGGGGGGGGTCAGTAGCCCGCCGAGGATTTTGGGGTCCCCCGGGGCGGTGGTGGGGTGTACCTCTCGCATGCGGGGCTGCCAGACGTGGGAGGTGTTAAGCGGCAGAGTCCAGTTGCCGTAGATCTGCTCTGGGGATGGAGGGGAGGTGAGGTGGTCCCTGGGTGCGGGGGGGGGGGGGCAGCTGGACC